TATAGTCCAACTTGACCTGACAACAGCAGAATACACATTTGCCACAAATCTACGTGAATACAGAACACATTCTGGGCCATAAAGTAACCCTAACGCACTTTTTTAAAAAATCCAGTTATTCCAAAGAAGCATTTTAACCATAATTTATATAAAACCAAAATCAAAACTATTAATGAGAAACATTAAAAGTAAATAATACAATTTTTTAAAGATTTATTTTTATTATTTTTGTTATTGGAAAGGCGGATATACAGAGAGGAGAGACAGAGAGGAAGATCTTCCATCCGATGATTCACTCCCCAAGTGAGCGCAGCGCAACGGGCCGATACTATGCCGGTCCGAAGCCAGGAGCCTCTTCTGGGTCTCCCACACGGGTGCAGGGTCCCAAAGCTTTGGGCCGTCCTCGACTGCTTTCCCAGGCCACAAGCAGGGAGCTGGAAGGGAAGCGGGCCTGCCGGGATAGAACCGGCACCCATATGGGATCCCAGGGCGTGCAAGGCGAGGACCTTTAACCACTTGCGCCACTGCGCCGGGCCCAATAATACAATTTTTAAAACCAAAATTTTATAATATGTGTCAGAACGGAAGTCAAAAGGAAAATTGGGAATATTTTTCTACTGACAAATGAAAACAAGATATTAAATGTGCACGCTACTTCTAGGAAGGAAATGTACATTACTTTGTGTCCATAAGAGAAGCAGAAAGGTTACAAGCCAATCACCTCAACTCCTCCCTAAATAAACTGGAAAATTCAACCCTAAGATCCAAGAAATTAATAAACACCAAAAGTAAATAAATGAAATTTTAAAAAAGCACTGTAAAACTCAATGAATCCAAAACCTAGTTCTTTCAGAAAATCTATTTAGTTCACAAATATCTAGTGATCTGGGAAAAACAGTAAAGATTCAAATTGCCAACATGAGAAGTCAGAGAAGAAAAAAATAGCTATGGGCTCCATTGATAACAAGGACATTTCATAAATTAAGTTATATTAATAATTTAGATATAAAAGTTTAACAACTTCTTGAAACGCACAAACTATCAAAGGTAATCCAAAATTTAACCAACAGAGACAGCAGAAAAATTAACAAAACAGGGATTTACAACAATAAGCTAGCTGTTCTCTATAGAAAATCTAGTAAACTCCATCACGTTCAACTTTTCAAGGAAACAAGCTAGGTACACATAAGAACTATGATTGTGGGCATGCACGCACACACGTGTTAGCTTCCTGTGCTCCCACTTCCCTCAAAAAAAAAAAAAAAGACAAGAAAACCCACATTCCTATACCATTTGGAATACATAGTTGGTCTAGGGCTGTTTCCCAGGCCATTACTTAACTTGTCTAAGACAGAAGAGCCCTGAGACAAATGATTGGTAGTTTTTTTTTTTTTTATGTTTTCCACTTGGAATACAACATACTACAAAGCCATTGGGTAAGACAATATTTGTCAAAAATAGTCCTATGTAGATGTTACTGCTAGCTGGGTAGACAGATAAAAGTTGGGGAAATAACTGGCTGACAAAAAGCTCGGAGAGGCTAAAGAATGGGATGTTACTGCAGATCTGGGAATTCCAACCTGTCTGTTTTAATCTAGAATATCAAATATATATACAAAACTATGCACATTTTCAGAAAGCCATCAGAAGTAAGATCATAAGTATGGATGACCTTGAGGTTTTGGGCAAGCTGAATGCAACAGATCCAGTAGAAGTGTAAACTGCCTAGCTCCGGGTTAAAAGTACACACACACACACAGGATCCCTCAGAAAAGACTGGAAAGATGTTTTTTGTAAACCAAACATGCATTTAAGGCTATCTCCCTCCAATCATCAGCTAGCCATTAAACCAACAGAAAAAGCTTCCATGACCACACAGATAAAATAATTCCCAAACAATGGGCACCAGTGTCTCCATATTGCCTAGGAGACAAAGTCTAATTTCCACACACAACCGAGGTTTGTTTAACTTTAATCTCACCTTCCAGACTAAACTTATATCAGTTTTCAAACAAGCTCCTACTCTTAGTCACAGAGGAACAAATAGTTTAATTCTGACTCAGCTTACCCTGATCTATAAAAGGCGTATGGGATGTTTTGTTTCATATAACAAATGGAACCATGATATATCAGGTTAAAAACCTTTATAACCTATAGAAAATTGAATGAACCAAAAATTCCAATGGCCATTTCTTACTTTTTTCTAATGTAACACATAGTATATCTATCAGATGTACTATAATATATAATACTAGATATTATTTTACTTAAACCTTTCCCTCAAAAATTATTCCTGCAACATGAAGGAAAAACAACTTATTTTCAGATAACTTCATTTTGGGTGCTGTGTTGGTCATTCCAAGTTACATTATGTCAATTCCATCTCCCATCTTGTGCTCCAGATGACATATGAGGTGGAAAGGCTGTCAGAGTGTAAAACAGTTTGAGAGCTTTATTCTGAAGACTCTCTGCTCTGACATCCACTATAAATGGACAAGTATCTAATCCTGCTGATTTTGATTTTCAGTATGTAGCTCCACCGCTGTCTGATGAAGCATCCTTTGGCCGTTGCTGTCCATCAGCAAGGTACATGCTGACTGAGAACCACTTTAGATTCTGTCTCAGACAACAGTAGGTTCTCTGACAGATATCCAAGAGTAGCAACAGCTGATGGTTCACTGATGGTTTCTCTCTTATCACCCTCGTAGACGCCTTTATGCTATCATTTCTGCACCACTGTAATTGTTACTTTCCTTCACTAAAGCTTGTTAAAACTTCTCTCCCAAACTTCAAAGAAAATGTCCCAAACTTCAAAGAAAACTTCAAAGACAGTTCTGCTAAGATTTTCAGTTCCTGAGTCTTTATTTGGAGGACAAGGAGGCAGTCCTGCTAAATCTTTTCTCAGATCCAGAAGCAAGACTTAAAGAGGGCATCCTGCCAGGGTCACCATCACTACCCATGTTTGCTGGAGTAAAAAGACAAAACAAAACAAAACAAAACAACAAAACGCTGAGAGGCCTGACACCTCAGTGAGGAGGGAAACCTGCCACTTCCCTTTCCTTCTTCTTTTCCCTTTCACCTGTTCACTTCACAAATAACACTTCTCTATATGAAACTGATTTTTTAAAATTTCTATACGAAGCTGAGGAGAAAACCCACAGAGCATTGCCAGTAACAGACAAAACAGGTTCTTTTGTTATGCTCACGTTATACTCAAAAATAAAGATAGTATCAGTTAAAGTCTCATAAGAAAGTCCAATTTGCATTGCCAAGATTCCCTGGGCAACAAGGTGGTGATGGTGTGACATCTTCTGTATCCCTGGGGTGGGCTCCATTGGTTAATCCCCCACCTCAGGTACCAGCAGCCCACCTGGGTGCCAGGTTTGTGTCCTGGCTGTTCCACTTCCTACCCGGCTCCATGTTTATGCCTTGGTAAAGCAGCAGAGGAACGGCCTGAAGCCTTGAGACCCTCTACCCGTGTGGGAGACCCTAGAGAATCTGACTCCTGGCTTCGGATCCGCTCGGCTCTGGCTATTGAGGTCATTTGGGGAGTGAACCAGCAGATGGAAGATCTTTTTCTCTTTGTCTCTTCTTCTCTCTGGAAATCTGTCTTTCCAATAAAAATAAATAAATCTTTAGCAAGCAAAAAAAAAAAAAAAGAAAGAAAGAAAGAAAGAAAGAAACCCTTGGTAGACTGAGGACAGGGGGTTGTTGTATTTATGTTGATGACTGGCATGATTTTAAAAAGAGTTTGTTCTTTGACAATACTGAATGGAGGAATGATGACTCAGCCTACATGTCCCCATGTAAAACAATTTTTCCAGGCTTCGTACTCCTGTGAGGGGAGAAGCACGACTTGGAGGAGAAGGGAGACAGGAGATGGTATAATGCAGTGAAGGCAGAGCACCCACAGGCAGTACCTACACCCTGGGCAACACTAATTTTCCTAGTCACAAATAAGAAAATACAACCATGGAAAATGAATGCAATTTTGCAACGGTCCTGCCATGCTTAGTAATATTCCTTGCCAACCTTTTTTTTTTTTTAAATTAGTTGCAAAGCTTTCTGATGAGAGTGGATCCTCAATCCTCAATTGATCTTCAGAGGATTCTCAACTGCCACTATTTTTTACTTAGCCAATGATAGCACTGGAAAGGAGGCACAGTTTGCTTTTGTAAATTAAAGGCAATCGTGCTAAACACAAAAGAGAGGAAAACAAACAACCCTCCTTGTTTTCCATCAGGGTTTGAGAAACATTGCTGTTTCCCTAGGATGGAGACAGGAGCATCCTACCCTGGACCCCGAGCAGCATACTTTCATGTGTATCTTAACGTCATAGTTCCCACGGCAACAGGTCCTGGAGCTAGCCTGTCACTTCAGGCTGGCAGTCAGCGGGTACTGCTCCCAACAGAACCCTAACTATGTGAGGACATACAATCTTCTGAGTGGCTGCTGCTGCTTAACAATCTCACTGTCACTCCTCAAAGACCGTAATATCTAGTCCGAAGCTGATTTCTGCCCCCTCACCCTTTTCTCGCTATCATCCCAATTCCTGAACTCTGATACAGTCGCCTCCTCCAAACCTCCCCCTCACCCCGTTTTCTCTCAAGGATACAGCCCAGGGTCTCCCACTGGATATGGGTCACTCAGTAACGTATTATGTAAGCTTAACTTGGATGAACTCTATGAATACAAAACCCCCAGAGGTCCCGGTGGCTGCAAAGTAGTACCTCAGGAGCTAAAAGGAGTTAACAACGGTGTTACCAGCAACAACTGAAGTGATAAAACGTGTGTGAGTACCATAAACCTAAACGCACTATTGCAATTCACCTCTGACAGACGAGGGAGCAAGGAGCAGTAGAGCAGTAGAGACACCCCAGGCACTGGTGACGCGTAGGTAGCACAGCGTCCCGCCACTAGAAGCTCGGGCGGATCTCCCCTCCGCACCCGCCCGCTTAAAGGCAGCGCGCCTGCGCGGAGCCCGTCAAACGCGACGCCGCCACCGACCCTTCCTTCTCTGCATCCGGGTCCTTGCGTTTCCCGCTCCGGGCGCCGGCCGGGGTGGCTCGCGGGTTCCTCAAGGTTAGTCGCTTCCGCCGAGGAGCCCGTGCACTTGTGGGTTCACTGGTGAGCCGAGGGGGCGGTCCCACAAGGAACCGCGGTGGCCGGCTCCCCTGTGTCGGGACTCGGGGGGCTCGGGGAGGTTGGGGTCCCTGACCTTGGCGGTCTCAGGTGGATCCTGTCAGAAGCTGCGGTGACCTGCTCGGTGCTCTGAGGCTCAGCCGCCCCGGGGTGGGCGACAAGTGGGAGTGAAAACCGTGACAGGCTGGATTTTAGTCCTAGCCTTCCTAGTACCCGTGTGTGAGCCTCAAGGGCTGTGGGAGTTCATCCGGCTCCGAAGTTTTCAGATTTGCCCTCGGGAACCTTCCTCCGATAGGATGCCTTTCCGACATGAATCAGCACCGAAGGCAGAGGAGGAATGCCGTGTGGTCGTGATGCCGGAGAGAGTTAATTGCATGATACTAGATAAAGAGCAGTTTCTGTTTCCAGGGACCGGCAAAATTTAGAAAGGGCATATCTTAAAAGTCCAGGGTGAACACACTTCTTTTTCCTTTCTTCTGGATAGATAGGAGCATATTTAGGTCTCTTGCAGGTAAACTGTGTGCCCTGCAGAGTTAGTTAAAAAAGAAAATAGAAATTGGCCTGTACCTTAAGAGACTCACATGCATCCCACTGCAACAAAGTGCAGGGTGGTATTTTCTGAGTTTTACCTGATGCTAAGAATTCCTTCGATAATTGTTCCGGTGCAGTTTCCATATATTGAAATATTGTAAGATGAGCCCAAAAATCTCACCTAAGGCAACCTTCATGCAAAATAGAAGGTCAGTAGATACATAGGCATGTATATACTATATATTCATCTGGAGGAATTATATAATGGAGGCTAGCATACTGAGAGGTGAAGATATATTGCAGTATCTGTCTCCACTGAATAAATAATGGACTCCCAGTGAGACTTAAATACATCTTAACAATAGGATGCTGGACTTTGTACCACCGTCAGTACCTACAGTATCATGATACACTTAAAGGGAAGAATGGTGCACTTGTGACTGTTTTTGAAGGACCATACTATTGTAATTATGTAGGGGAAAGGGGGAGGGTAAGTGGGCAGAATAGAAAGGGAAATCCTTGAGCCTAAGAAACTGTATCATGAAAAATTAAAAAAAAAATTTTTTAAAGAGAATATGTGTTTTTAACAGACACCCCAAGTGCTTCTCAAGTGATACGGCATCCTAGGATTTTGAGTCGGGTGCACTTCTCCCTTCATAACCCCATAGCTTCACAAACTCAGCAGAATCCTTTTCCTGTGTCTGAGAACCAGGAGGGTGATTTCAACCTGAGAGAATACTGAGAGATTCTAACCATTAGTAGCAGGGCCCTCAACAGTGGCTTTCTTTAGTAAGCCTAGCTTTGGCCTTAGTGCATCTGTCAGGGTGCAGGACTGAGGGCAAAGTGCCCAAGACATATTCTAGATCATTGCATTCTTAAGGGCATCATTTTGCTTCCATGTATTCATTGCAATAAACCTTATTCCCATTAAAAAAATTATTACTCATGTAAGGTATGTGGGTTCAGAACTTGCATACTGAAGCCTTGTCATGAAGTACAGTTGTTGTCTGTGTCTTTTAAATGTAAAATGAAGAATTAAAAGCTGAAAATTATAGTTGTAGAATCCAGTGAAAAGTGAAAATATTATTAATCCTGATAGAAATAAAAATAGCTTCCGTTAGAGATGTTAAAAGACACAGGCTACTGTTATAAACTGTCAGGTTGGAGTTTGGCCTAATGGTTCAGACATCAGTTGGACTAGTTTTATAGGTTGCATCATTTTTAAATAATGTTCCTTTTTTCTGTCCTCACTGTGTTGCAATTCTTGTGGAGTGTCCGAATAGTAGTTCAAGCAGTGTTCCTTTGTCATCTTCTCAGGTTGGAGCGTCTTGTCCTGGGAGCTGTGCATCTCCATCATGAGGCTAGTCATTCTTGAAAACTATGACCTGGCTAGTGAATGGGCAGCCAAATACATCTGTAATCGCATCATTCAGTTCAAACCTGGGCAGGACAGATACTTTACACTGGGCTTACCAACAGGTAATCCAAAAAAGTGATAGAGTTACAAGCTTTCTCTTAGTACACTATTTTCTGTTCTTATTTCTGGTCGTACCATTGATTGAACATATCTGTGTGAAAAGCTAGAGATGGATAGAAATGGGCTGGAGGCATACACATGCAGCTACATAAAATCTTTTTGTTTTAATTTCTGTTGTCTATTGAGAGTTCTCTTAGAAAATGACCAGATGGTGCCCTCTAATCCTATACAACTTAAATAATATTAAATTAATAACAGCACGAGTATTAGACCTAGAATTGGGGTTGCTTCTTGGTGAGTGACTGCGAAGGGTTCATTCTACTTATGTGAACCTCGGCGTCCTTGTCTGTGAGGGGAATAGTAGCTTACAGCGCTGCGTTGAGGCTCCGTCACAAGCGCTGTGTAGATTTAAGGTTTCCGTGCTTAAACATTGTTTTCTTCTGCCCCTCTCCCATTCATTCCAAAATTCCAAACTGTATAGCCAAGCTACAGGCTTTTTTTTGGTTTTTTGTTTCCTGCTGGGATAACTACGTGAATGACATTCTTCTGGTTGAATTTATTTTTTATTTTGTTTTTTGAAAATGTTTGGTCCAGAACTTTAGATCTTGGTGAAGATGATGAAGGGGAGTTTGGGGGTTTTGTTTATCTTATGTATTCCTTCGTCACTCAGTTCTGTCATTTAAGCCCTGGCCGTTGAGCATTGCTTCTGTTACCGGTCTGTACACTGTCAACTGGGTAACATTCAGTCTTCCATCACTTTTTCTGAATTATGATGCAGAAATAAGCAGTAGGTTGACTATGGGGGTAGAATGGATTCAGAGTTCTAAATGCCAACTGTGCTAAATATGACTTTTTTATTTGCAACTACAACTTTTTTTAGGATACAGCTAACTTGCTAATTATTAAGGCATTAAATGATTCATTATAAAGCACGTAGTCAACTGAAATGTCTTTGACAGCTGACAGTGTTTCACATCTTTTTTTTTATTTAGTCTCATTCAGTAAAAGTTAGAAAATGACACCAGCATTGTAGCAGCTCCTTATTCTTATTCATTTATCCCTAAGTAAGGGAAATCCCCAAATTCTCTTCTTGGTGCTGAAAGAAATTTGTTTCTGTTTCTACAGAGAAAGGAAAGTGTGTTTATCTACTTTAAACCAATTTTCTTATTAGATGACTATAGTTCTTTGAAAAGAAGTTATAAAATTTGATATCATTAGTTTTAAAATGGTTATTCACAGTTTTTAAAAATTTGCTTATGCCTATCTTAAAAATATTCTGTTATTATACCCTGATTTTCTGTGGTACTAGTAACTTAATAACTACTTTTATTCTGTCCTCTCAAATGAAAGGCAGTTTTTCCATTATATATGTTATTATATATATATTTAAGTGGGTATGTATTTTCCTTGTGACTATTTCTATCAGACTTACCTGAGATGTTTGCTTAAATTTCATGAGGAGTATGTATTATGAAAAATCATGCATGGATTTGAAAATTTTTTCTGCAGGGCCCAGTGGCTAATTCCTCACCTTGAAAGCACTGGGGTCCCATTGGGCCCAACTTCAAGGCCCAAAGCCTTGGGACCATGCACCTGCATGGGAGACCCAGAAGAAGCTCCTGATTCCTGTATTGCTTTTAAAGATTTTTTAAATTATTCATTTGAAAGAGGTAGAGCACTTCATCTGCTGGTTCACTCCTCAAATGGCTGCCGTATGGTTGCCATACCTGGGTCTGGCCAGCTTGAACCCAGGAGTCTGGAACTCCATCCAGGTCACCCAAGTAGTTTGCAGTAACTCAAGTACGTGTGACAGTATTTACTACCTGACAGCTGCATTAGCAGCAAGCTAGATTGGAAGTAGAAGCAGTATTTTATCCGTAGCAATACTATATGGGGTGCCAGTACTACAGATGCTGGCTTAACATGATGTGCCACAACTCCTGCCCCGTGTGTGGGTTGTAGATTCTGCATTAGTCTATGATAATGGATTAACTGGGAATCAGTACTCCAAACAGGATTTTGTTGGCTACGTCACTAGTTAAGACTGCATTCTATCTAGCCTTTCAGTTTAGAATTCTATCCAAAAAAAAAAAAAAAAAAAATTAGAAAATAAGCTGTCCACAAGTGACTAAATTCATGTTTTTATTGTGTACAAAATGAAGCACCATCCAATCTCTTTTCAAATATCAACCATTTCAACGAATCAGATTGTAAAACAGTAAGATCAAGAACTCAAAGTGTGTAGCCAATGTCCTACTTCCCAGAACTCCTTATCATAAATAAGTTTTTCACCAGAAATGCAAGAATTTTCCAAACTTTTGTTTTTGTTACAGACTTCCAAATTCATTAGAGAACAATTCAGTGTTTGTTTGTTATTTAAAATTTATTTAAATCAAAAATTATCTAGTTAATTAGAATATTTAATAAATACAAGATTTTAAAAACTAGATTTTTAAATTATGAAGTGGAATCTTCATCTGTTTCAGGGAGTACACCTCTAGGATGCTATAAAAAGCTAATAGAATATCACAAGAATGGAGATCTTTCTTTTAAATATGTGAAGACCTTTAACATGGATGAATATGTAGGTAAGCTGTATTTGAATCTATTGGACATGCTCTATATGTCAATGAATATATTTTTAGAATATTGTTTGAATTTGTGTCTTGAATATAAGGGTATATCTGTAGAATGCATTATACTACTGTGTAATAAGTTTGGAAGGTTATTTGAAAATTATTTTTTCAAAGACAGCTCAGTGTAGTGGGAAGAATCTAGGACTAGAAGTCAGTCTGCATTCATCTCAGACTCTGCCACTTAACCAGTGTGTCGACTCAGCAGTCCATTCATGTATCTTGTCATGTGTTTTTATTCTTAAAACAGAGTTAATAATCAGTTTTGTGAGGATAAATAATATTTATGTAAAAGTCACTAAGAAAATACTTTTTCGAGTAAAAAGCTACTTATTCTTATTATAACTGTTTGGCCTTTATAACTTATTGAACATTTACTGATTTACCTGAAATACCTGTATTGTGTAGAAACTGTATTAGAAGAGAAATGTAGGAATATAATTTTAATAATAATGTGATGTGATAAAAAGCAAAAAGTATCATTCAGGGTACTTTGCACATGAATAGGAAAAATTGACGAAGAACATAGCTAATATTTCAATTGACTTAGCTAATGAATTTGTTTTTAGCTTTAAAAAGTCATTTCCATCTGCAGCACTGGTTGGCTTGAAATAAGTTCTAAGATTTTCATGTGTCTATAAAGTGAAAATGATAATAGTATTTTCAGCAGTGTTTTACACATAATTGTATTATACATACATGTGAAATGACAAGATACTGATGATTTTGTAAACCCATATTGTACAAAAAAAAGCTTTTAAATGGATAATGGCTTAGAGAGGATCTGTTTTGAGTAGCATTTATGGTAGAAAAAGAATGTTTAGATTTATTACTGGAAGTAGTTACATTTTTCTTTTTTAATTTCATATTTAGGACTTCCAAGGAATCATCCTGAAAGCTACCATTCGTATATGTGGAATAACTTTTTTAAGCATATTGATATTGATCCTAACAATGCTCACATCCTTGATGGGAATGCTGCAGACTTACAAGCAGAATGTGATGCGTTTGAAAAGAAAATCAAAGAAGCTGGAGGAATAGATCTTTTCGTTGGAGGTATGTAAGATGACCGTGTTTATAAACATTCACCTAATGTCTGAATTCAGTGTCTTAGGATTTCAGTCCAAATGAAAATTATTCTAAACACTGTGCAGGATAAACATCTGTGATTGTCTACAGCACCCACTTGGAGAAATACCGATTTCTAATTTATTTCCATCAAAACCATCATAAAATTCTAACAGTTAACCTATCTTGAGTGATAGGTGCCAGTTGCCATTAAAACCTTGAAACTACCTGCTTAAGGTTAACAGTTTATTGTGGGTTTTTTTAAATGAGTGATTTGTTCCCCATTTCCCAAAGTTCTCAAAGAGTGTGTGTGTGTGTGTGTGTGTGTGTGTGTGTGTGTGTGTGTGTGTGATCATCAACTGAGAATAGGAGGAGGAGTTTCTTTGTCATGAAAATCAGCGTGATTTTCTGATGTCAGTGTGGCATCGGAGACAGGTAATTGTGATCACAACAATATCCTGTCAACTAAAACTAAATTTTTTGTCAAATTCTTTACTATCCAACTAAAAATATTAATGTCCTAAATTAGTAATTTTATGTGTATTTTTATAATCAGTTTGTTAGAAAACTCAAAATTAGAGCTGTATGATTGAAGTGGCCAACTGTGGTTGAGCTAGGCGGTATCATTAAGATTAAATCACTTGTAAGATAGCATTAGTATTAGCCATTCCAAAGTGAGTGCTAATTAGCCACACTGTTTACGTGTATAAAACACCAGGTAGATGGATGGATGGATGTTTGCCACTCTGTGTGTAATATAGACTTTTTCTCTTTGAATTGAAGCTTTTCACATACTTGTCACATAGTTTATTGAAGTCTCTGAAATTTTTAACAAATTATTTCTACAGATATCTAGACAGATTAAAACATTCTATAAGGAAATTTAGTCCTGAATAAATAATGGAGCAGATGACATTTATTTTCTTGGGTAAATAGAGTGGTTATTTATCTGAGCAAGTACACAAGTTAGGCACAGCATTTTACAATAAGACTATGTTTTTTTTAAAAAAAAATTTGCTAGTGTTACCTTAGTAATCTTAGAGATTATTAATACATATTTCAGGTTTTTTTTCATATGGCTCGATTTTGACATGATTACTGTTTGTGACTGCTAAGACCAACACTAACACAATAATGAGAATATTTAAAAAGGGTACTGACTGCTCAGTTTCTAGATTTGGTAAACTCTAGACTAAAATGAAATAGAATTACTGAAATATAATATAGCTAAACCATTTGTCTTGGGCTTGAAAAGTATATTAGCTGGCAGAGATTCTTTGTTCAAAATGACTGTTTATAAAATGGCTTAATTGGATTTGCTTTCCTCCTATTTAATTATTGACTCTCCATAAGCATGCATATAAAGAATTCCTTGTAGATTCAGTACCAGGAAACAGAATGTATGGGGGTTGAAAAACTGCTAAGAACTATCTTAACTCTATTTCTCACTTTTGGTGTGCTTTCCATAAGGCATTCATTAATGTATTGTTTAATATATCCAATTACTGTGGTAGAAGTCGCTTCTTTTTACACAAATCTTTAAGTCATTTCTCATTGTTTGTTACCTCATTTTTTTTTCATGTTTTTCGCACTGTAAATCATTTCCTCTCGCCCTTTAACTAGATAAAGCATAAACTATAATTGTGTGTGTGTATCACTAACTCTTACTAAAAAGAACTTTAAACTGTTTTATCAGTAAAGCTTCCAGGAGTCCTCTGCTTCCCTTGCTTCCCCCCATAATATCCATGACTCCAACTCCCAGAAAAAAGAAAAAAAAAAAACATTTTAAGAACACTTCTCTACAATTCAGTGAAAGTCTTGCGATGGCTCAGTGTTTACCATTCGAATGACACACTATGCATAAAGAGAGAAGGGTTCACTTATTCAACTTTTTTCTCCGAACTTTTTCTTCTTCAGCATTCCCTCTTACTCATTAAATGTATATTTTCTTAAAAGAATCTAATTTGATTCTTTACATTTATTGGTCTAGGTATATTATCATTGGATTTTCAGATGAGGTTTGGTTTCTGGGTCTTACCACTTGCCCTTCTTTTGTTCCAGGGTTTGGTTAATAAAAACACTAAGAACTGTGCCAAATGGGATCAAAATGTCAGCTTTATTAAAGGTAAAGTTGGAATAGAGATTGCAGATTGGACTTGAAACCACAATGGGGTTTTCTACTCCTCTGCATTAGAAACAAAATGAAAACAGCTCAAAGATATTTATTAACTCCAGAGCATTAGAGCAGGTCTTCGAATACTTTGGGAGAGAAGAAAAAGAAGAAAATTTATGCTCTGATGATTCTCATGTTTTTTTTTTTGTGTGTGGCAAGAGTGTTGAGACACAGTAAGGTGGTATATCTTGAATTCCTGCTGTGGCCCAAGAGTAAGATGAAACTTGTACTTTAGTATGTAAGATCCATAATACTAATGTTTAAAATAACCATTTTTCTTTAAAAAGAAAAAAATGAAGAGACATATTTATAGACATATTTACATCCTATTGTGATTACATGATTGGATTCTTTGGTTGGTGATTTTGATTCTCTGTAAATGGAACTAATTAAAAGCAAATTAATTGGAATGGCACTGGGGTAGCACAATACTAAGGAAGAGTTGAAAAAACCGGTTCCTTGCAACCTCAGATCTTAGAAGTAGGTACTCATTACCCTCTGTGCAGTACCATCATCCAGTGCTTTAGGTCTCCGTGTCTTCTTTCTATAGTCATGGTCAAGATTCCAATCCAGAATGAATGTTCTAGACCACAGATACTCTGCCTAAGCACTATAATCTTTTAGCTTCTGTAGTGAGCTCACAGCAGAAGAGAAGTTGAAAGAAATTATACTTTGATTACCAGAAAGTAGCGTTATTCAACTGTTTATTGACAGCCACTCAAGTTATGTGTTGTCATAAATATAAAGATACAGCAGTGAAGGTGAAGTCCTTTCATGAAATTTATACTCTTCCTACATAACTATGTGAATATTAGGGAGATACAAAATGTGCATTTTTGAGCTGTCTCATAGATATACTTTGATGTACATAGATATATATAAATGTACTGTTAGTACATAGATGTACTAATATATTAAATTAGACTTAAAGCCAAATACATATTTGCCACATTTGAGACATGCATCTGGCCTAGCCCACATCCCTAGTTCCTGAGTTCATTGAAGACCTGATTACATTTTTGGTTCCAGCTACCGTACATCCTGGCAGGCATTGGATGATGACTCAAGTACTACGTCCCTGCCACCCATTTGGGAGAGTTAGATTGAGTTCCCAACTCTTGGTCTTGGTTTTGGTTTGACGGGGCCCTAGCCATTATAGACATTTTGGAAAAGAACCAATGGAACAGAGCTCTCTCACTCTCTGCCTTTCATATTCATAAGTACATTTTTATAGAAAAATGAATTATCTACATTAAAAATCATTTAATCATTAAGCCAGTTTCTCGGTTAATCCTAGCCCGTAAGTAAATATATCACTTTTCCCTTACTACGCTTTGCTTATAACTTTAGTTTAGCTGTGGATATATACTTCTATGGGGCCCAGATCATCAATGAGAACCACTAGTGTTATCTCAGTAAAACTTCTCTTTTGTTTATTTTCCTGATTTCATCTTTTCCTCTGTTCATGTATATAAATATTTGTGCATGTGTAAATCTGAGAAACAGAATACTTTCACCGATGTATTTAAACCTATGTCTAATTATACTTTGTAAGCAGATGTAATAGAATAATCCATTAATAATAGCTACATGTAGGACCTCACATTAAAAATGTATGCTTCCACATTAAAGATTCCTAGATTGTTGTGCTTTGGTAAATTGTCTCTATTGCATGAAATATGTATTCCTTCATCCTTTAAAACCAGGCTACTCTGTCTTACTTACCTGGTGGTTCTTTGGGAAATTTTGTTGAGGTTATAAGCTATGTGTTATAACATATACATATCAAAGTAAATGTACAGATTTTAACATAAGAGATTTTTTAATGGCTCAAGAGCACCTGTATATATAATTTTTGATTGAAATTGCCCAAAATAAAACAACTTGTTTCATGCAGCTGATTTTATGAAAGTTTTCTGTGTCTGTCAAAGATGGAGTACTATAATGTTAGTTTAGAAGCAATCCTAAAATCTCAGAGCTGGCAGTAGATCCTTTTGAAGCAGTGTTTTTTAAACTGGTTGTCATGGTTATTTGTGAAATCAATAGTCACCTGTAGGATTTCCTTTTTGTTTTGTTAATGAAGTAATATAATAAGAAATAGCTTGCATAACTTCTAAGGGGGTAAGTATATTTTATGCTTTTTTGTATAAGTGCCTAAATGTACAATAAGTATCAAGTATTATTTGTGTTATTAAATATTATTTCTTGAAATAGTTACAGCAAAAATTTTTGAAATACTTACTGCTCTAGATGTTATATTGTCTTCATTTTTGAAAGTAAGGAAACTAGAAATAGGTTCACTGGTTAATTTCCAAATCTGGAGAAGCAAGCAGATTAGAGTGTGAATATAATGACATCTGAGAATCACAGAGTTATTTTTGAGTCCTGTCTTAATATTTGCTAAATTATAACCCAAGTAGCTAATTTGTTTTCCTGAAGCACTGAAGTTTCCTTTTGTTTTTTAAAAAATAAATATGCATGTGAAAATGCTTTCTGTACTGTAAAACATAATAGTGTAAAAAGATGCTGAAGTTTATTGTTAATGATGGTAGCTCAGCGCAATGTATAACAAAAACGGAAACATCTGTTGAATCAAATATAGAAATATGTTGAGGTGTAGTAGGAATATGGCTGTCAAATGAACCAAAGTGTTTTTAACCATTTCCTTTTCTCTTACAACCACAAAGGACTTTAAGTAAATGTTTTTATTATATATGAGAAACACTAATTACTTTATATTTGTGTGTATTTCTTTTGAAAGGAATTGGTCCAGATGGTCATATCGCTTTCAATGAGCCAGGATCCAGTTTAGTTTCAAGGACAAGATTAAAGACTCTAGCAATGGACACAATCTTGGCAAATGCTAAATATTTTGATGGCGATTTATCGAAAGTGCCAACTATGGCACTAACCGTTGGTGTGGGGACAGTGATGGATGCTAGAGAAGTAAGATTTTATTCTTTGGTCTTCTTTCTTTGATGCTGTTTTGGCTGGATTGTGATGTGGAATGATACAGTTGGGTTGTATTCTCTTTTCAGTAAAAGTTGTTTCCTGGTTTCTACGAAGTATATTTGGTTAGTCTCATTGACATATTTACGAATCAAAGAAATTAAGTTTTTCGGAGCTGTAATTTAAGAATTAGGTATAACATCTTTTGAGTTACTGCTTCACTTGTCCATTCTTGCTTCTCAGTTTGGGATCCTCAAAGACACTTATCAGATGGTGTTAATTTATTACTGAAATATTGTAAAAGGACTGTTGGGACAAACATGCAAAGCTAGTTGTACTGCCCTGCTTTGGAACCCTAAGGTGCCTCACTGTAAGATGCTTCTTGGCTCTATAGGGAGTGTAGCCAAAAGAAATCCTATTGAGAGTTATGCTGAATTTGGTATATTTAAAAATGCAAGAACTCTGAGCCATAGACTGTGATTATTTTTTAAAGTGTTTAATTGGTTGCCTTTTCGTTCTTTGAGAACAGAACAAATCCTGTCAGTTCATTATAAATTATCATTTTATATGGAAACCCAAAACTGTTTTTTTTTCCTGGTAGCAGGATCACGTTAGTTCAGAGGAAACATGAGCTTATGCATCATGTATATCCAAAACCTAACAGTGCCTGTCACATCGTAGATACTTGTTGGGAACAGTTTCTACAGAGCTATTTTGCAGAACTACAGTGACATTAACAGTTTTTAACAGAAAAAAACTTTGAAGATTTACATTACATAAATTTATCTGTAGATTTTGAATTTCAAAATTCAAATTCAATACAAAAATGGAGATTTATTCTGACACATAAATACTCAGATTTTCATATGGTCTTTGAATTATTTAATAGATGTTTAGGGATTTGAGACCACGAAGTTGGATGTTCTGTAGTTTGTTTACATACAGCTTAGACTGCAGTTCATTTGTGTAAGTAAAACCCTAATCCTTTCACTCCAGTTTTTATTCCAAGAAAAGTTTAGATACCACATGTTCAATAAAAAAAAGTCATCAGACTTATCCAGATTGCTTTTAAATATATTCATTTCTCACTTTTCTGAATAATTTTTGTTAATAGATTGGAACAGAGTATATAAATTATTAAAAGCATGTAATTCTATTTTTTCAAGCAGCCCTTTTGTTTTTCATCATTATTCCCAATCTCTCACACAGCAGTATTACTATGCTAATATCCAGATATTAGACTGACTTTCCATAATAAAATACTATTTAGCTTTATTCCATGAGAGACACTTTCTGCTAACCTGTTACCTTAGCAAGAATAAGGACTTTGAGTGAATTGAGGAGTTATTTTTATGTTTTTATTGGAAGAATATCATTGTTAAAATCCACTTCTAAAGAGTTATTACTCATGTGTCACATCGTTTATCCATTAATAAAAACATTATGTTTATGCTTTTCCAGGTAATGATCCTTATAACAGGTGCTCACAAGGCATTTGCTCTGTACAAGGCAATAGAAGAAGGAGTGAATCACATGTGGACTGTGTCGGCTTTCCAGCAGCATCCCCAAACAATCTTTGTATGTGATGAAGATGCTACCTTAGAATTAAGAGTTAAAACTGTGAAATACTTTAAAGGTGAGCATTGAGTTTAGGAGGTAGACTGTGAGATGTTTGGTTATAGAAAACAGGAAAAACTTAGGCTGTTAATAGAAAAACAGCATTGCGCTGACAATAGTTTTTTTCAAAAACAGGACATTCTCAACACAGATAATTGTAGCTGCAAGGGTAGTTTCCTACTTTTGTTTTAAGAAGAGTGTATCTGTAATCTGTATTTTCAGGAAATTCAATTTTCTTGAGACTCAAAATGTAATATTTTACTTTCATACTGTTTTCAAATCACCAAAAGGAAATGCATCTGTGTCTTTTCTGACCTTTTCATGTTTACCAGAAGTACCTCAGCCCCACTTCCTCACACTGTTTTTAGAACCTAGTCATGCAATCCAAACAATGCATTCTGATATATTAAAGTTGTGCTGGAGGCAGGTGTCGTGGTACAGCAAGCTAAGGTGCCACTTTTTATGTTCCCATCCCGATCAGAGTGCTTGATTCAGGTCCCAAACACTCTGCATTTCCAGTCCAGCGTCCTAATATTTTCGTGAGGCAGATGATGGTTCAAGAGCTTAGGTTCTTACCACTAAGTGAGAGACCTGGTTGGAGCTCTCAGTTCCTGGCATCAGCCCAGCCATGGCTGTGACAGGCAGTTGGGCTGAACCAGCAGTTAGAACCTCTCTCGCTTGCTCTCCCCCCTTCCTTCTACCTTTGAAATAATGAAGTGATGATGAGTAAATGTTAAAGTAAGATGGAATAAACTCTGCAGGGAAAGAGGAGTTTGTAGATTTCTAAATGTTGATTTTCCTTTACCTTTTTCCTGTAGTCTAATTCATTAATTCTCCTTTTTACTGTACTAAGTTGCCTATAACAAAGCTGCATATGCTTGATGTAATTGGTGCTTTAAAGATTTTTCAAGGAATAATTTGATCCCAGTTTAGAACCGATTCCCTGATTATGAGCTCTGTCTGTATATCAACAAAAACAAGCACTCTAGATAAACGTGTATTATATAAAGCACCTGGACTTTTCCTTTTTTTATATATTTTGAGTATGAGAGCTGCTAGTTCATTTGCCACATGTCTACAACAGGCCAAAACTGGAGCCAGGCACGTAATCGGAGTCTCCCTTGTGGGCAGCAGGCACTTACATCACTAGCAACGCCCAGGAAGCAGCGGCAGGAAGCTAGAATGAGGAACCAGAGCTGTGGATTGTATCTGCAAACTTGGATGTGGGGTGCAGGCATCTTAACCGCTGGGGAGCATGTCCACTTCAAAAACACTTGTAATTATATAGCTGTTATCACAAATTACTTACCTGGTTACACAAGTCAGTCAGTAATTCACAAAGTGTATAGCATGTGTGCTAATTCTGTTATATTTTCAAAATGTTTTAAAACTCTAGTAAATAGATGTTTCTCATGGACTAGAAAATTTCACCAAATAAACCAAACTTTTTTTTAAAGATATCATGAGGCTTAAAAAACTGCCATATTTCCCAAGACACATTGACCTTGCCTAAAATTATGATTTATTTTAAAACTGATGTTCTGCCATTTGAGAGCATTGTTTCTTAGTGGTTCCTGCAATAATGTGTCCTGCGGGAAGAGTACAGCAGACTATTCAGAAAGACAGTCTATGCTGTAACAAAATTATAACAAAATTATAACAAAATTATATTTCCCATGGAAAGGGAACCAGTAGCCTCTACTTACAAACAAGGCAACAACAGGTCTGAAGGTAGTCTGTGGATGATTCAAATCTAGCAAATACTGAAAGTAGTCTCATATTTTGAAAGCAAAATTTCAATCTTCTGTGCTGTTTTAGTTGTATCTGCAATTGTTATGAGCATTGTTTTATAAAATATTGTTCCAAAGCACTTTTAAAGAGTACACATAATTTACTTTAGTATTTTCTCATTGTTCAATATTGCCATTTTATATTTTTATCATTTAAAGTACTAGTTTTTGAATCAAGCCACAGACATATCAAATTAAACTGAATATTTTTAACTGAAACATTGTTAGCTTCCTTATAATATGACAGAGAAATGGAGGGGCACCTGAGTGACAAATGACGGATAGGACAGAGGTGGATGTGGATGGAGTTTTAGTCATATATTTCCATGTAGTTCTTCAGAATGCATTTCTTTTTAGTTAATAAAAAGAATCCTCATTTTCCACAAATTTTAGTGTTTTTTAAAATTTATTTATTTTTATTGCAAAGTCAGATATACAGAGGAGAGACAGGAAGATCTTCCATCAGTTGATTCACTCCCCATAGAGCTGCAACAGCCAGAGCTGAGCCGATCCGAATCCAGGAGCCTGCCTCTTCCAGGTCTCCCATGCAGGTAGAGGGTCCCAAGGCCATCCTCAACTGCTTTCCCAGGGACAAGCAGGGAGCCGGATAGGAAGTGGGGCCTCCAGGATTAGAACTGGAGCCCATATGGGATCTAGGTGAGTTAAAGGATAGGACTTTAGTCGCTACACTACTGCACCAGGCCCTTAATGCCAGTTTTCAGATTGATTTAACATGCCCTTTTTCTGGTATGAATAAATCTACTAGCCTTTGCCCAATTTGGTTTTTACCAGAAAAGGTTTATAGTGTAATGAGTATTTAATAATAGGCAAGACTTTAAAAGTGACCAGATGCTATTCTTTTTTTTTTTTTTAATTCTTGACTATCATATAATTCTTTATTAAAGAGTAATGAGAGGAAGTACACATTTTTAAAATGAAGTGTGCTTGTTATGTTCCTGTAAACTTCATTATAATTCCATTGTGAATGATTAGTATAATTTAAAAATTAAGTTTTATTGGTTAAAAGAACAAAATAGCATCATTGTCCTATTTTTTTTTTTTAGTAGTTAACATTCTTTTTTTTTTTTTTTTTTTTTTTTATTGTTGCTTACATTGTATTATGTAGTACAGTTTTATAGGTGCTGGGGATTCCCCCCACCCCTCCCATACCCCTCCCCCCATGGTGGATTCCTCCACCTTGTTGCATAACCATAGTTCAAGTTCAGTTGAGATTCATTGCTTGCAAACACATGCCTAGCATGACAGATGCTATTCTTTAAAAATTTATTTTTATTGGAATGGCAGATTAGATTTACAGAGAGAAGGAGAAACAGAGAAAGATCTTTCATCTTGGTTCATTCCACAAATGGCCTCAACAGGCAGAGCTGAGCCAGTCTGAAGCCAGGAGAGCTTCTTCTGGGTCTCCCACATAGGTGCAGGGTCCCAAGGCTTTGTGCCATCCTCAACTGCTTTCCCAGGCCACAAGCAGGGAGCGGGATGGGACCCATCTGAGATCCTGGCACTGGCAAGGTGAGGATTTAGCAGTTGAGGCATCACACTGGGCCCACCAGATGCTATTCTAATGCGTACTTATTTACTGGCACTACTATATTTCAATTTTTAAATGAACTAACAATGTTTTTGTTTAATTTATTTGGAAGAGTGAGGAGTGACAGAGAAAGAGGTCTGTCACTGGTTCACTCCCTAAATGGCTGAACTGGCTAGAGGCTTGGATCACACTGAAGCCAGGAGCCAGGAACTTTATTCTGGTCTCCCACATAACAAATTAAATGTAAAAATTACCCTCTCCAGGGTAGTTTCCTAGAAAATTATGTATCTTCAAAATCAGATGGCTGAAACTACCTTTCATTATTGTTGTGCTCTTAGCGATTAGGGCCTGTGGGCTACAAGAGGGTCCCTATCTCTGCTTTTCACCTCCTTCCCTTCTTCGAAGACCTCGTTGCTCTCTGCAAATCTCATAAAACCTGATCTTCCTCACAGACCTTATTTTTTTTAATCCTTTTTGCAACCTTCCCAGCAAGAAATACTTGTTTTGTAACAACTTTCCTATGTCCTGAGTTTATTAATCCCAATTTCTAACAAAATGGTATGCCCCCATGTTAATCCTACAAAATCCAATTTACTTAATCTCCAAAATAGAAACTCTTCATAGTTAGATCAAGACAATTTTCTGAACTTTTGAAAAGAAATATGGTACTCAAGCAGTAGGGTATGAACAAATGGAAAATACGTTACTTCCCAAGAAGATTTAATAGACAAGTCATAGTAATATGTAGTAATTAAAAAATGTTAAACTTAATTTAATACAGGGTCTTTATCTTAGTAAACCTCAGTGTGGAATGCGCTAATCTGGTAGTAACCCTTATCATCAATACACATGTGCCAGAATAGTGGGAAATAATTTGCCAGGTTAGCAAATCTGGATTACATAGGAAGAGGAAAGCTACCTTTGTTAAGACAGCAATTTTGAGCTCTGCCAGAAGTATAGTAGAACTTGCAGAGCACTCAAATCGGAATACACTTTTAGATGTACTTAAAATGCATTTACCAAGTCATTATCAAACTCCTCTTGTCATAGTGCAGGCTCTCTGAAGGACTGCTTCTGCTTCTGTACCTTTCAACATTCTCTGTCCACCCTATTTTATAAATGATTGTAAAGTCATTTTTACTTGATAGTTTAAACACTCTGAAGTGTTTCTCTACATTTTTTCAGTAAACTTTCTTGTAAGATGGGAACTCAATACTGTAACTTAAAAATCTTCTGTGTTCTAAAGTAAATGAAAGCATTTGGACATCATAAAAAACAACTAGAACTGTGCTTTTTTTCTTTAAGGTTTAATGCATGTGCACAATAAACTTGTGGATCCACTATACAGTATGAAAGAAGGACATTGAAGGAGATTGGAGCAATTCTGCTTGAAGGAAAACAACACTTTAAGTAGTAGATGAATTCTCAGCTATGCAATATGATAAAGTGTGGGGAATTCTGAAAATGCGATTTTGAAAAAGTCTGGTATCTATGTTAAACATTCCATGCTTAGTATTAGTGTCTATTTTACACTAGAGTTTAGGAGTAGTTGCTTATAAAACTGGTAATTATGAAGTACAGAAGCCACACAGTAACCTATGAAGTAGCATACGGACGAACTGTCTGCTTGCTTAAAGTCATTGTGAAGATTGGCACAAAAGGTGCAAATTGTGACAGCACTCTGGTGGCAATCACAGATCTTTAATTATAAGATTACACTCCAAGATTTTCAGGTTTCAACCCCGCCACAGACCTTTCCTTTGGAAATGCCGCCCTGTGCGTTCTCAACCTGCTCTCCTGCACGTGGTTGCCTTAGACATCTCACAGTAGCACTTGGATGTCAAAAACCCCGCTGTTATTAGAAAGGACTGAAGAGATGACAGTGCCTAAAAGGAGCGTTTACATCCTTTTTGAACATACGTGTAAGTGCATGTTTCTGTGCACCCTCTTGTATAGCACTTTTATATAAATATGCTGTTATTTTTATTAAATGGCTTGGGTTCATGCCCTTAATATAATCATCTTTGCAGTTAAGAGCTTTATACCTAAGTAGCAACACACTTAAGGAAACACTTTGTTTTCTGATTATTGTTACACTTAGTAGCTTTATTACATAAGATATCTGAAATACAAAATATAAGATTGTTAACTATTTTAGATTGCCATAAGTTGCATAAAGTTCAAATAAAAGTATATTGTTTTCTATCTTTATCTCAAATAAAGCTTATAATAAACAAACAAGTTATCTAAATTTTATTTCCAGAAGTCTAACACTTGCATTTTTGAGAAAATTCAAAAACTAGTGCTTATAAACCTGCATTTACTTGTGGTTTGACACTAGGAACATGTCTGTCATTTGTCAGGGTTAACTCCATAGCAAGTAAAAGCAGTGTTCATGTGCCTTTGCATTTTTGTATTTAAAGGCTGCCTGATAGAAGCTTTTATATATATACACACATATACTGATTTAAAATGTGTATAAATATATATGTATGTACTTAGATGTAACTAAGATGTACTTAAAGATTTAGCAAATAAATAAATCCAGGGTAAATATGCTACTTCAATTCCAGATGATGAATTTTTAAAAGCCTTAGAAATAAGTGGTTTTCAAATGTCTTGAGTGTCAGGCCTTGTTCCAAGTGCCTGGGTCCAGTCCCAGGCTGCTCCACTTCAGATCCAGCTCCTGGCCTGTGGCCTGGGTAAACAGTAGAGGATGGCCAAATGCCTTTGGCCCCTGTATCCATGTAGAAGGATCTGGAAGACACTCCTGGCTCCCCAGCTTTCATTTACCCAGTTCTGGTGCCTCAAGAGAACATTTGGGAAGTGAACCAGTAGATAAAAGAAGATAGTTCTGTTTTTAACTCTTTGTAACGTGCAGGTAAAATAAGATAAGCCTTTAAAAAATTTGGAGTTTGATGAAGTTACTATTTGAATCCCAGTTGTCAAAACTGAATTTTATCATCTTCAATTGTTATTCTAAATAACAGAAGCTTCTAGTGGTCCCTTTAATATTTTTTTAAAGACTTCTGAAAATGTATTGTCTCTAATACCTGAGTGGAAGAGAGTGAGCACACTGGTTCACTTTCCCAAATGTCCACAATGGGTAGAGAAGGCTGAAGCTGGGAACTCAGTCCTTGTTTCCCACTCCATGGCAGGAACCTGATCACTGGAGGCATTACCCCAGTTCCTCCCTGTGTCTATAAGCAGGAGGCTGGATCAGAGGTGGAGCTGGGTATCAGGCACAGGTACCAACATGGGACAACATGATTTACATCTATAGCCCAAAGCCTGCCCCTAAACCTTTTTGTTGCTTGCTAAAATTTTGAGAAATGTCATGTTTTTGAGGGGAAGACAGAAGACAGCTGTCTGGAAAAGTACCAAGGAAAAGATGCTTCTGCTCAAGTGATGTGCAATTTTTTTTGTTGTTATTTTCCTTAAATTATACATGAAGAGATTATATCTGAATTTAACAAATACAAACACTAAATAGCATATGTTTAGTTTATGTTATGTGCCACATAGCAACTTATAACTTCCCTGGGCAGTAATAGGACAGCAGAACATTCTGTGATATGGTATTTCCTGCTTCATAAACACTTCCATTTTTCCACTGCTATGAATATAAAAAAAGATTCTGATAACATAATGATCTGTGTTTCTTCGCTGTTGGTGGTCTTAATACTGAAAATCTTTCTTCTTTGTTTAGTTCATTCAAGGTAGAAGTCATAAAATCAGCAGCTAAATTATTTATCTTGTTATAATATCATCTGTGCCCAGATTAGACATGGATTTAAGAGCTTGGATATTAACTGAAGTACTTACAGGCTGTGTGATCTTCAGTAGGCTTACAACTATAAACTATAGTGTCCTTCATTATGAAATATACACAATTAAGCTTTCATTAGTAACAGCTGCTGCTAGTAGCAAGCCATTAAGCTTGATGGGATATTAATTATGGTATATTTTATTATCTAAAAAATGCACAAAGAAAAGCTGCAGTACACCAAGTGCTGACTACACGTTAGTATAGCATCACTGAATCTTTATAACCTACAGAAGTAGAGGTATAATCCTGATTTTACTAAAGAGGTAACAAAAGTTATCTGGTTAATGTCACCTTGCTAATGGGTGAATGGAACGCAAACAGTAGAGTACACAGTCTGGTTTTAGAATCCTAGCTCTTACCAAATCACCACTCCTTTTATTTACATCTGAAAACCCTGAAAGTAATGAAGGTTTTATAATTTTCAATGTTACATTGATAAAACACATTGTCACAAAGATTAGACATTTTTAATTTATAAGAAATCTTTTATTTGTTTCCCACTTGTTACTTATCAGGTTGTGTTTTCAGAACTTTTATAAAAGCATCTTTTGGAACTTCAATGTTGCCAATTTTCCTCAATTTTTTCTTTCCTTCTGCTTGTCTCCTTAAAAGTTTCATTTTTCGGGTAATATCACCACCATACTGAAAAAAATTTTTTTTAAAAAGTAAGTCAAAAACTCCACAGACAACTATACAATGCTAAGCACCTATAAGAGCTAGGCACCTCCAAAGTGATGACAGAACCTTCTCTGCAAATCTGATTTCCTTACATTCTTACGTTAAGGCTGCATTTTAAGGAGATGGGAGTGAACATCTGCAAAGATACATGTCAAGCAAGAACTGCTAATCTCAGTGAGTCAGGCCTGGAATGTTGGATTACAAAGCTAGTCTTTAAAAGAAACTCGTGATCACAACAGCATAAATGCATGAGAAATTAAGCATACTAAACATTTAGAAGTTATTCACTTTGCAAAAATAGCAGAATCAAGAATAAGTTTTCATAATTGAGAAAGCAAACCAGCTAAACAATACAGGAGGTAATTTCACACTTCCAAATAGAAGACGTAACCTCTATCTTCAAAATGTTTATATTACATAAAAAAAACTTACCCAGGTCTTAGAAATAACTAGAAATATTTAAGAACACGTAAAAAAAAGAAAAGTAATCATAGTCAAACTGAAATTCACCTTTTTGAAAAGGGTGCATCAAAACCAACAATAGGAACTAATACACAGTTTTAAACTTAGAAAACAGATGAAATAAAAGGTAAAATACATAGAGCTCGATACATACACATTTTGCCAAAACGTTTTTTCTATAGGGTTTCACGCTGTAAAAGAAGAAATTCTGTTTAAGTACATAAATTCATTATGCTGTTTAAAAGTGCTTTATGGGCAAAAACAATGTCCCTTTTACTAAAGGATTTTATTTACAGTTTCATCACCTACAGATAATTGCTGTGAAGAAATAATACAGCACAAATGCTCTTATATTTCAATATAAAAAACAAGTTCAACAAAAACAGTCAACATTTGCAGCAGTAGGGTCTGGTAGTCCCAATAGGAATAAGGTATGACCATGATTACAAGATTATGTAAGGATATTTTAGGCTCAACCTAAAAATCCTACTGCTACTACTATAGGAAACATTAATGATGTCTATCTACTCCTAAATTTGGAAAAATGCCTAGAATATAGATAAAGAGTATATACAAGACTGTCTTTTATGAAATCCATCTCATGATAAATTTTAATGTATCCATGTCATTACTCAAACTGGAGAAATTTCTTCATTTTACTAACTGCTGCATTTTTAAAATTATCTTCTTGTTTTTCATAAAGTTATTCTCTCCTTTATTACAATGTCACAACAATTGCTACATTTTAAGTTGTGCTTTCCAGAATAATCCCTGGTTACCAACTCCATTCAGCCTAATCTTTGGGTATTAATGAACAGAATACCTGAACCCAAACAGAGCTGAATAAAATTCATTGGCAACAATAGCCCTCAATTTATCTCATCTATATGAAAATGATGGTCATATTTCCCCACTACTGAATAAGCTAGACTTAACAGCAATTTCTGATTCATAACTGAGTTAACAGATGCCTCAGTATCATGAAGGAAAGAAGTACTAGTATATACTTCTTGAACTTGTTTCCTGCTGGGTACCTTATTTAATTCTGACTCATGCATTTCACAAAAAGAGAAGGCAAGAGTAATTAACCTATCTTCTTTCCATGTATACTGGAATCCATGAGGTCCCTAAGCTACAATGCAGAGGCTAACGCACGATTAGCATTCCTACCTGACATTCTCCATCCCTGGGAAAGTGATGTCTTCCCTAATCTTTTCTTTTCGAGATGTACCCTTTCAATTTGAGTTTCTGTTAGCTATGATGTACCTCAAGGGCTAACACCACATATAAATGCCTAACTCAGAAGGAAGTTCTAATTAGCCATCCAATAAAAATATGGCAAATGTAAACCACAGATGCTTAAATCAGCAGCACTGGCAGTTCTATCATACTGCTTCTATAAGCTAAATTAAAATCGTATGCTGATATTAATTAAATTTTTGGTACTCAAGCTTTGTAGGTATGTCATTTCTCAAACTTGTCCAGGCACAAAAATGAATTTCAACTCACGTTTCTCTTGCAATGATTTTACTTCCGATTGCAGCTTGAATTGCTATTTCAAAAAGCTGTCTAGGAAGAGAATCCTTGAGACGCTCACATATGGTTTTGCCAACAGAGTATGCTTTGTCTCTGAATCAAAAAAAATACAAATTCATATTCTAATGCACATGCATGATTAACTGAATAGTGGTTTATTAAGCAGAGTCAAATGAAACTTGTAAACACTTTATTCTCTGAATCACAGATGCCTTTTGATTCTAAAAATTAAATATACCCTATATTACAGAGAATTTGGAAATAAATGTTGAAGAATAAAAAAACCATTCCTCATACCCTTACCTGTTGAAAATCAGTTAGTAAGCATTTTGCAAAGTCTTAAAATATTTTCTTTTAGTCATTCTTTTGCATATAAAATGTTTAAAATTAAAACGTATATTAAAGCCTACATTCATGTTTAAATACTTTTTAACTAGTCCATAATAGTTTTAATTGCTTAATAAATAATGATTGCCCTGTGATGTTTCTTAACCAACTTGCCATTTCTTGAGCATGTAGGTCTATCATTTTCTTTTGAACATAGACAAATTTTGTTATTAAAGCTACAAGCCCATTAGATGTCCTTTAGTTTTATCTGTTAAGAGCAAGTTTTCTCCATGACACTTTTCTAGCTACTGCATTTCTATCCTTCCTTATCAGATAAATATGGGGCAAAAAATTGAATAATGTTTAAAATCTAGCTTGTCAAATAAAATTAGACAAACAATAACTATAGAAAGACTAACAAAGTGATGACTTTTACAGTCCATGATTAGCATTTATTCAGCTTACTTGTGTACAACCGTCACTAGTTCCTCCACAAGATTTCCATTCAACAGAATATCCATTTTAACAAGTTCTGCAGTCTGGTAACCAGCATCTTCATAATCAAAACTAACAAAGAGAAAAAATGCAGGTAATAAACGTTATACTTCTGAGAAGATTGTATTTTTGCTTATTTACAAAATTTCTTCCTTCCATTCCTTTCAAATCCTCTCACTGAAAATCAGCTCACTTCATCATCAAAATGTCATATACATAATTTCATGTAAATGGATCTGAACACCTACATCAAAGAATAAACTTATCTCATTACATTTCTGAAATAGAAAACGTAAGCAGGGTCAATAGGTCTAAAGAAGGAAGAACAAAGTGGTTAAACCAAAGCAGGGAGAAGCATCACTGAAGACAAACAGCCACTTTCCCATGCTGCCAACAGCAGGTGGGCTCCAGATGATGCCAACTGTGAAAGCACCATTCACAGTGTCTGTGTGTACAAATGCTTTGACATTGGATACAGAACCATTAATGAGACTTGGATTTCCTGTAAAGCCCTTTGGGTTGAACCGTCACAGGACTTCTTAACAACTAAAAAGTACACGTAAGGCATTTAAAGCAATAGCTAGTATGCTTACGTGTTTCAAACAGAGCCTATCTTGGCACATGAAAGCACTTAGTTTCAGCTATTCCTATTAGCAATATAATCAAAATAGGTAAGTTTAACTCTTTAATTTACAAAACTGATATTTAACAAGAAAAGATTTTAGTGAACCTTTGAAATCTTTCCATTCCTGGGCAATGCTCCTATTATCTTAATTTTAACAGCTGCCTGGAATTGTAAATACATGAAATTTTTTGAAAATTTTCATTCTAATTATCACGAAAATAGTTGTTAAAAATCCTTGCTTCATTAGGTACTATGCAAAATACAAAGAGATAATAAAACACATCTAGTCCCTTATCATGATGCTATTTACAGCACCAAATGCTGTTTTATGCATTATGGAAAGCACATTTTTCAAAAATAAATAATTTTATAGAGAGTGTATTTCAAAACCAGCACACTGAAATCTAATTTCTGTTCTAATGGTGTACACATTTCTAACTCCAAAAGGAGACACGGATGCAGTCTTGGGGACAAAGAGTAGTTTCCTTAAGCATCATTAAAGGCTCTGTACTAGAAGCTGACAGGAAAAGAACATGACACAACACTTAAGATGCCACTTAGGATTGATTTCCAATCCCGTATCAGAATGCCAGGTTTTCCAGTTCCTTAGCTGGGTCCCTGCCACGCATCTGGGCTAGTATCATGCTCCTGTCTTTGGCCAATAGAGGCTGTTGCGGGAATCTGAGGATTGAACAAGCAGATTGAAGACGTGTGCGTGTGCCTCTTTACTTCTTTCTCTCCCTTTTAAATTGAAAAATAAACTTTGAAGAAAGCCTTTGATTTCAAATTTTTGGTCACCAAGTGAAGATCTTTTAATTTTAAATGGCTACAACAGATGTGGCTGGGCCAAACTGAAATTAGATTTGGGTTTTCCACATGGCAGGGACCCAACTAACTTGAGCCACTTACCTGAGCTACGTGAATGATACACTGGCAACAAACTGCAAGGTTCAACTTGCAGCTGTATGCAGAACTCTCAACTGACAAAAAGGAGGAAGCAATACAGCTCTTTTCATGAAAAGGGCACTAGGTATTTTTCATTAAAAACAACAGAATTGGATAATGAACTGAAGCAACTGCTTCTCCTACAGACAAACTATATATTCTCTAATTCCTGTAAGGTTGTTCCAGGCCTTTCTAACCTTAGGCTGTGATTCTAAACTACCTTCAACAGCTCTGGGATTATTGATGAACTGAAACATTAGCATCCTCTTGATACTTGATATCATTTTACCTAGCATATCCAGAAGACAGAGACTTCAGAGAGTCATAGAAATCTACCACGATTTCATTCAAAGGGAAGAGATATTTCAACATAACTCTGTTTTGATCTATAAACATCACATTCTTCTGAACTGCTCTTCGAGCCTAAAAAAGGAAATGGAAAATGTGTTTAATGATAACCAATTCAAACACTGATTTAAAGTAATTTTATATACACAGGTTTATATTTCCACATAGCAAATCCTAATAAGGAATACACAAAAATAAAGGAAAATTTTTTTTTACTGTCAATAAAGACTTAGGCACTAGTAATACAACAGCAAGAACCATTCTGCATTTCAATTATTATGTTTGCCTCCAAAGTTTTAATCTGTTTTACCATTTTTTATCTTTACCTTTTTTGAATTATATTACTTCAGTTAAAGGTTAATCAAATGTAACTATAAATAAAGCAAACCATAATTTCCTGTTTTGCATATAAATAAATTAGGTTCAGAAAAATGGACTGAACAAAATACTTTTAAACAAAGTCTTAAAGAATTAAATCTTTCAAGTTCCTTAGTCACCATTTAACATATTTGCCAGTATGTGTTAGAGTACCTCAAATAGGCACTTTTTGAGGAATATGGTAAATTACAACTTGTAAATAAAATCACTTACTGAAATGTGGCAAGAACTAAAGAAAAGTAGTAAATATCTCACAATCTGATTCCCAAGTATTACAAATTATCTTTACAACCACATTCAAGTGTTCAAAAGGGCTAAAAAAAAAAAAAAACTTTTGCTACTTCAGCTAATTTAGTATAAATTCATTCCCTTTGGACAGCAAACTCAATTTCTTAGATTAAAAAAGTCAAAAATACTGTCTGTAACTTTAAAATGAAAATAGTTTAGGGTTAGTGCTACAGACAGCAGATTCAAATTCCAAGCATTCTGCTTCACATGCAACTCCTTGGTAATGTGCTGAGAAAGGTGGCGGAGGGTGGGCCAAGTACATGGGCCCCTGCCACCCAAGTGAGATCTTGATCCGATTCTTGGCTCCTGGCTCTGGCCCGGCCCAGCCCTGGTACTTCAGTCATTTCAGAAGTGAATCAACAAATGGAAAACTATCTCTCTTTCTCTCTATCTCTTTCTGCCTTTCCCTTTCCCATCATTCTTGCAAACAAATACATAAATCCTTAAATAAAATAAAGCAGTTTAAAAAGCATACATATGTGTATCTCATTATGAAGGTAGTTCCAAAAATTTTAAATTGATATATGCAAGAGGCCTTCAAAAAGTTCATGAAAAATGCATATCATTAAAAGCCATATTTTGAAAGTTTTGCACAAACATCTTTTAATCCTACTTTTCACAAACTTTACAATGTACCATTATAACTTACATACAGATCTATGAAAAAATCTTATTAAATTAATTAAGCTTAGCACAGCAAAACCTGAGCTGGGGATCACCATTTCAAAGGAGTGAACTACAGTTGCTTTAACTGTATGGCATTTCCACCTGGCAAAGCATCATTATTTCTCTTGTGTATTCATCTGGTGTGATGATGGTCCCCAAAACTACTGGCTCCAAATATTCTGTGACTTTTGATTTGTCAGGGAATTGTGCAGGATTGATGATTGTTATCTCTTTTTCTCTATATTCCTAAAAATTAGAGAAATATGAGTTAAAAAGAAACCTTAATTATCATGACTTTTAGAAATTTGCTTTTCAGGTACAATTTATTACAGAATACAATGTTATGGAATTCACTGGAATAAAACATAAAACAATTCCTAAAAATTAGAATATTACCTCAACATATTTTTTATTTTAAAAGCTGATCATAAACATTTCATATTAGTAGTCAACTGCTATTATTAATATATCCTGGTTATTAACATTTCCTAAGCCCATTGCTTGGGCAATTTAGAATATAACATAACTATATGATGTAATGTGACCCTTTTAAAGCATCATAATTAGCTTAATATTTAATCTTCCTGAAAAAGATTTTAAAATACCAAAGTTAATGTTTAAAATGGACAGACAGAAAATTAGATGGCATACATATTTTTATCATTAACTTGAAATCTAAAATTACATATAGCCAAAATATTTCACCTATTATATATTATATCAGGTTAAGAAAAGTTTTCCTAAATTAGTTTTTAAAAAGGCTCTCTGTCATTAATAATGTAATTCAACTTTTATTAATATTAGTCAGAGTAGCTTCCATAGCTATTAGACGTCATATTCTAACAGTTTCTCTGACATTCTGTACATCCACATTTGCGGTTTTGCTTTTATGCTGATGTAAAACAGTACTGAGTATTACAGACCTTTATCAATTTTGCTGAAGAAAGAACAGCTTTATATGGGACAGTAGGGGTTGTTAAAATAACTGAGGCGTTGTATTCTTGCTCTAGTCGCTGGTTAAAAACCTCCATATGCAGAAGCCCAAGGAAGCCCAACCTAGAAGAGACCCATTCAGCAAAATGTTTATGTTCCAGGGGCTATATTTCCTGTGACACAAATATTGTTATTTTGCAAAAGAGTGGTGAACCAAGAGTCATTAAGAAATTTTCATAATTAAATGCTTACATAATTCTATTAAATTAGATTCAAATCTTCCAATAAACATGTTTTCAATCACTAGGAAATGTAAAATGTGAATCCATAATGTGAAAGGCAGTATTTATAGTAATGAGTATACAACAGAAATGTTCAAGAATAATCCATTATTTAAACTTTTCCTATAATAATGCTACTCTCCTATATGAATAAATCTTACCTCCAGCCAGCACCCAGAGCAAGACTACTATCTCGATGAACTGTTACACTGGAGTCATTTAAGGTCAACTTTTCTACAGCACTCTTCAGGTTATTATACTCAGATTGGTCTACAGGATACATTCCTACGGATACAATATTTCTAATTAACACATGATAATCTGCCTCCAGACAAAGCCTAATATGTAATATTGTCAAGTTCCTCATCTAAGGCCAGTGCAGTGGCTCAACAGGCTAACCCTCAGCCAGCCAGTGCTGGCACCCCATGTGGGCACCAATTTGTGTCCCAGTTGCTCCATATCTGGTCCAGCTCCCTGCCTTTGGACTGGGAAGGCAGTGGAGGATACCTCACATCTTTGGGCCTTTGCACCAATATGGGAGACCCAAAAGAAGCTCTTAGCTCCTGGCTTCAATTTGGTTCAGCTCCAGTCATTGTGCCCATTAGAGAGTAAAGCAGTGTACAGAAGATCTTTTTCTCTCTGTCTCTATTCTGTAATCTGCCTTTCAAAATAAAATAAATAACTCTTAATATTTAATCATCTACTTTAGCCTTAGTATAGAACTGGGTTCATGTTTTAAACAATGCTTCTATGTTTTTGTAAAAAGTATAAGGGATAAAAATTCAATATACCATGGGAAGCAGGCCTATTAAGAAAATATACTGCATTTATTTCAGAACCTTTACATTTTACAATCACAGGTGAAATTAAAGCAAATAAACACAGAAACAAAAAGGAAACCAAAGATAAACTGTACTTATTGCAATCCAGTGACAGGAGTTACTACTATTCTTTTATCTGGACTCTCTCCAGCCCATCCATCCTCAATGTCCTCTGAGTTCAAACATCTGACTCCCAATAAGAGGGTCTCTAGAGAGAAAACCAGGGCGTGATTCCCATTCAGCACAGAGTAGTTTGGTGAAATTCACCAAGGTCTTCCTTCTGCAAATATCTATATTATACCTATATGAAACAGCACTATGAACTGTGACAGCCACACTAGTATAATATGAAGGGTCAGCTCTTGCTGGAGGGTCTCTACTGATATTCTAAATGTACTGATAATGTGTAGTGAAGACATCCTATTTAGGAAAATGTTTCAAATATAACAATGGACCAATTCCATACAGAAGGAAGCTCATATTACTCTCAGGAATGAATTCAATTGCTCTCAGGAATTGATTCCAAAGTGTTAATTTCTTAAGGAATCCTATATGATCTACCATATGAAACTGTATCATACATATGAAATTATAAACTGACACATATAACATACAAAAGACACAACCAAATGAAACCATCTAATGCCATTAGCAGTAAAAACAAAAGGAAGAATGTGTATTTATCTTCTAGTAATTTTTCTTTCATTTTTTGAGACAAACTTTTAGTTTAAAAGTATTTTGGCCCTCAACCTTGGAATATGTGAACTCCTCACCTGCAAATACCATTGGTTTCGCTGCTTTAAACCCAGGCAAGGGCTCCACTGGTCGTCTATGTAAATACAGTGTGTCTCCTACTTGCGCTTCACTGACAGTTCTCATCCCCGCAATCAGATAGCCCACCTGTCCTGCATATCTAAATAAAATTATTACATGCAAATATTTACTTTTTCAATGTTTCACGTGCAAATTAATAATTAAAACTATCTTTTAGTAAATTATCACATACTTTATAAACAAAAACCTCATGAGACTAAAAATAAGAGGTCCATATGGGTTCTCAAATTTTAAGGTTTATGCAGGAAAAAACCTATGCCTCTAAACCCCATTACCAAAGAATTCAGCATCATAATGATTTATATATTCTGCTCGCCTTTACAAATTAGACAGCTTTGATAGCATAATGTAAATACACAGCAACTAAAACCACAACACACACCCGTGTCCATTTTACTCATCAATTGTGCCACAAATGTCAAGCAAGAAAAATACACACTCATTAAACTCTAATTCCAAGATTTTGGTGTTAGCTTTGTTTCAAAAGAATGACATTTTACAGAATAAATTTATGATTAGAATGAAGTTACAAGAAAAGATATGATAATGTTCAAAACATACAGCAGAATGTAGACAAATTTCAACAATATTCCAAATCAAATTATCTCTGACTTGAAAAGGTAAATATAATGCTGCCTTTAGATCTACTTCCATCCTCAAATGTGATGAACACAGTCATCTAGTTCAGCATGCTGATTTCTACAAATGAACAGGATATCAGAAAGCTCAAACTCCATGCTTGAGCCATGCCTCATCAGGACCTCAAAAGGGGAAGATCCTGAAAAGGTGCAGTTTCAAAAGGTTGAAAACTTTCATTGTCCTGTCAGACACATTAACACCCAATATGCAATAGTTCATAAAACTGTAATTAGTCATGGAAAAATGCAGTCAATTATATGTGATAGGCACAGAAATCTCCATTCTTTACACAAAAGATTTCTTTAGACAAGGCATTTTCACTTACATCAAATAATCAGGGTTTTTTTCGATGCTGTTTTTAGTTACAAAATTAGGATCATGCTAATAAGCACACCAAGTTGAGAAATAAGCAGAAATGGAAACATATACAAAGGTACTGTAAGTTACTTTTGCAGATTACTCACAGCTTCTGTGTTGAGCGCTCACTAGGATTTAAAACTCCGACTTCATTGACTTCGTATGTCTTCTGAGTGTGGGCAGACGCAATCTTATCTCCTTTGCAAACTACTCCGTCAAATAAGGCTATGCTGGCTATCACACCTCTGTACCGGTCAAAGGTGGAGTCAAACACCAAAGCCTTCAGGGGATTATTGCGTTGCACTTTAGGACTATTAAATATCAATAAAAATAAACATATTCTAAATTTAGACAACATAATGTATAAGTTTCAACTAGGTCTAAGGTGTATTCTAATTTTTCAGAAAGGTCCATACACAACAGCCAAAATAAAAGAAGCATTTAATAAGCAGAATATAAAATTTAACTCTGCCAGATTTGTATCAGTAACTATTTTACTTAGTTATGAATGTATTTGTGTTTTTTTTGTTTGTTTGTTTTTAAAGATTTATTTTATTTTTATTGGAAAGGCAGATATACAGAGAGGAGAGACAGAGAGGAAGATCTTCCGTCCGATGATTCACTCCCCAAGTGAGCACAACTACAGATGCTATGCAGATCCGAAGCCAGGAGCCTCTTCCGGGTCTCCCACGCGGGTGCAGGGTCCCAAAGCCTTGGGCTGCCCTCGACTGCTTTCCCGGGCCACAAGCAGGGAGCTAGATGGGAAGCGGGGCTGCCGGGATTAGAACTGGTGCCTCATATGGGATCCCGGGCGTGCAAGGTGAGGACCTTAACTACTGCGCCACCGCACCGGGCCCTAAATATATTTGTTTACACAAAGAAGACTAGCTGCCAATAAACTCAAGTTTCTTTATTGATTACCAAGATGAGCGGACTATCATTCTTGTAGCTTCCTCTACTAGACTGTATTTCCCATCTGCATATTACCAGCGGCAAATAGAACATTTTCACTGCCAGATTATTTGCCATCTAAACTATTAAGGGATCAAATGGATAGCCTTTGAACTATGAACTATACATCAATAATGAAAAAATAGCAAGACACTTACGGAGGTATTCTCTCAATAACTGCTTGAAGAATACTTTCAACATTTGTTCCAAGTTTAGCGGAAATCTAAAAATCACAAGTGGGGTAAAAAGCATTTAGACAATATAGCTCTGATCCTGGTGACTTACAATTTATAATTGAGATGAAGGAAATTGTGACAGCTGAATAGTACAGCTGTCCTTGTTTCTCTGTCACAGCAACTCTCCCAACAAGGCTTTCCCCATCCACTGCTAATTATGGAACTTCACGTAGAACATTTGCTGCATGAATTTCCTTGAAGTTATATGTCCTATTCATTAACCCTGCTTACTTCCTGACTGCCTGCCTCCTCAGCAAACACTCTACCAGCTGGCACACACCAAGTCAGTCAGTCAATCAAGTTTGTGAAGATTAAAGTCAAAGTTTCTGATTGTATTTAAAGGTAACACAATCCAAGCTATACAACTGTTGACTTTTTTTATAAAGGACTTCTCTTTGTAATAGAAAGTAAATTGTATATATACGTTCAAGTAAAAAAAAAAACTTTATTCACCAATTACTAGGTTGTATATCATCATCATGTCCAGACTTATAAATAGATAAATAACTTCGCCACCAGAAACGTGCTCTTTCCAAGAATGAATGAGAGGAGAGGAAGACATGGCAGCGCTGCCCTGACATACCTACTGTCTCACTGTGTAGCACAGCAATTTGGCCATGGCCATTTAAGCAGTAAAACATCTGGAAGTAAATATTCACGCTAGCATTACTATTACCGACTTTTTTACAAAATAGTTGTCAATTCCAACAACACTATCTCCAAACATCCTGGAAATAGTTTAACCCTACTCTTCAAAGACAGTATTTTCAATGAGACCAAATGATAAATAATGATACTATATTCTCAACCCTGTTTTCAGTTTTGAAACCTTGGCGAACTAAATCTATGCTTTAATCAAGTGATGAAATTTTTGGGTTTCTAGTGAGGATCAAATGAAGTTATAGTAAAGATATTTTAAAACTATACAATGGTGGACTAGAAAATACCACTGGGGGGAGGGGCAGGGACCAACAACAAAGCATCCATAAACCAATTATCTGAGATATTTTAAAAATAAAATTAATAGGCTTCCAAAAATGACATTTTACCTTAATACATTCATTTCTTGGGATATCAAATACTTTTTCAATTTGTTTTTCAACCCTTTCAGGATCAGCATTCTTCAGATCTATCTTTAAAAATAATCACAACAAATCCATTATGTGCTAGTATAATCAAAATTAAATGTATCACATATTAACAGTATTTGGAGACAACTAAAAGCTTACCTGCTTTAACTGACCCCACTACATCTTTTTCGAAAGTACTAAAATAATCTATATGATAAGCAATATTACTTTAAGTCTGACTTCACTGAAAATTTGAAGTCAGGGAACAGAACACGAAAAAATTTAAAAGTGGTTAGCTACCTAGGAAACAGAAGGCTTCAATAGCACTTTATCAAAGTGTACCACATGAACACATTTTAAAAATTAAGTTAAACCTAATTTTATGTCTCACAGCAAGCTATTCTATCCAACAGCAACTTTGCTCTTCTATACTTCAACTGTAAGAATTATAACAAGGCAAAGCTAATTTTAAAATTAACATTTGTTCATTGGCAGTAATCCTCTAAGCTCTATTGTTTCCTATGAGACCCATTATATCCCTAGGAACAATTCAGAAGACAGACACTTTGGTGCACTGTATCCCCATCCTACAGATAAGGCTCTCCATCACCCCATAGAATTCAGAGGGACAATCTTCTCAAAATTTGCTATAGTACATGAGTCTGAGTTGCAATTTTATAATTTAAAATCAAAAAAGAAAAATCCGACCAATACATTTCATAAATAGCTACACATTTCTAATAAATGGGCCTGGCATGATGGCTCGGTGGCTAAATTGACACCTTGCACGTGCTGTAATACCATATGGGCACCAGTTCCTGTCCCAGCTGCTCCACTTTCCATCCAGCTTTCTGCCTGGAGGATGGCCCAAGGCCTTAGGACCCTGCACCCGCGTGGCAGATCCAGAGCAATCTCCTGACTCCCAGCTTTGGATGAGCTCAACTCCAGCTGTTGCAGCATTTGAGGAGTAATCAGATAGAAGATCTTTATCTCTCCTTCTCTTTGTAAATCTGCCTTTCTAACAAAAATAAATAAACCTTAACAAAAAAAACTAAACATAAATCTTTACACATAATGAAAGATAGTACGTTTTAATTCCCACCAATATATTTAATAAAGATGTCTCGTAATGAGACAGTACATCTTAACTGCTAAATATATTTGTATACAAAATGTGGATAAATATATTTATAACTACAAAGATTTTGTTATTAAAATTACCTTATTTATAACTGGGATTATTGCTAGTTGTGCTTCAAAGGCAAGAAAGAAGTTTGCCACAGTTTGGGCTTGAATACCCTGGAAATATCAAGATAGAAGATGCCGAGATGATCACTCTAAGTAGTTCAAGACTGTTCCATACATCTTCATCATCACAAGTGTCGCTTTGTGTCATTCTAATGATAAAATTAGATAGAATGTCAATGGCTGCCCTTCCTACTTATCTTTCCAGCTTATATCCTAAGATTCTAGGTGAAGATGATTGGTGGTAAAGCAGTAAACACGTCAAGGGAAAGCCTGTCCCCAAGTATGACAGGGACACTGGAATAGAAATACAGGCCAAGCTAGAGGACCCATACTTCCGCCTTGCATCTTATAATTAACTCCTCTCTTCAGGATTCTGTGCCAGAAACTATCAAGTGTTAAAGACACAAAGATGAAACATGGACCCCCCCCCAAGACTTCAGAGACTCCCAATCCAGTCATGCAACACCCATTACAATGCCCGTGACTATCAGACCAACAATAAACTTCTCTAAGAGGACAGTAAAGGCTTGCCAAATATAACCTTTGGGTTTTGAATGGTTTGTAACAAACTAGTAAGATATTTCAAAAGCTTATTTGCAAATAAGCCTTAAATATATATCTTAAATATATATATATATATTTGCAAACAAATAAGCCTTAAATATATATCTTAAATAAATATATTTATATCTTATAGATATAAGGATATATATATATTTATGTCTAAGATATATATATCTTATATCTAAGATATATATATATATTTAAGATATACAGATATATATATTTATGTCTAAGATATATATATATGGCATGAAAACATCGGACTAAGAAGTATTGAATTTTTTTGGTAGATGTACTGATGATATATCGTTCTTCAACAACAAAAACCTGATAAGCAATTCCTCTGATGACCATTAAAATATTAAAAGATGAGTTAGCCAATTCCATGGAATGCTTTAATGCAGTAATTATTCATATGGCAAAAGCATGCAATGCATATAAGAAATTTATTATATAAAAGTTGCACATATTTACTAAAAAAAAAAAAAGGGATTCTCCAAAATATAACACTTTGAAAAAAAGTACCAAAATAAAAGCATGCATGTCACACCACATGATACATATAAAGTTAAAAATACCTACCTCATTTGCATCCACCACCAGTATAACACCCTGACAAGCAGAAAGAGACCTGGACACTTCATAGTTAAAATCAACATGGCCCTGAGAAACAAAATTATTGACACTTCTAAATATCAGTTATGTATTTTTTAGTGGAATAACATCATGTTAAGTATTATTTACTCTAATAAAACATTAAATGGTATCCTTTTAACCCTGCACTTGGAAAAAATTACGATAATACAAGAATATTCAGAAGATACAAAGTAAAGGTAAGTGGTTAACATTCAATGGAAAAAGTAAACAAAGATATATTGAAGGGTGACTTCAATATTACAGCCAAAATTAATATTAAACTTACTGGTGTATCAATGAGATTTAAAAGGTACTGCTTTCCTTCAAAATCATAAAAAAGGGACGCTGTCTGTGCTTTCACGGTAATTCCTCTTTCTCGTTCCACTTGTAACGTATCAAGAACTTGCTTATTATTTTTTTTTTTATCTATTGTACCTACAAACACAAAAACTTAAAGACAGTTCTCTGGGTTTTAAAAAATATAATACAACATGAAAATGAAAGCCACAATCCAAGAAAGCATGGTAAAAGTAACCCCCAATTGCCCACCACCATCAAGTAATGAAATGAAAATACCTGTTAATTCCAGCAGCCGGTCAGCTAAAGTACTTTTTCCATGATCTACATGCGCAATGATACTGAAATTTCTAATATTTTCAACAGGAAATCTAGACATGTCAAATTTTTCCTGCAAAGGGATGAAATACATTTAGGAGTATAAATGTTACATGACAAGAGACAAATACATACACTCAAAGGATACTTTTTTTCCATCTTGGAACAGTTTCCTTTGGATAATTCTTCAGATAAGAAAGAGCTCTATCGCAGAGCTCAGTAACAAGGCATGCATTACATCGGTCTTCCTCCCAAACATGTTTCAAGCTAAGGTGACCATGTGGCTAAACACAAACCCTGGTTTAATCTGCCATTTATAGGACTAATTGGGAAATGACTTTATTTTCATTAACAGAAAATCTAGATTCCCTGCAACTTATAAATGAATTGGGAATGTCTTGTCCAGCAAAATTGCTTGAGAACAAAGGGGTTATAAAAAGCGGAATCAGTGTGGGCCCCAGCGCAATGGCCTAGCGGCTGAAGTCCTCACCTTGAACGTGCCCGAATCCCATATGGACACCGGTTCTAATCCTGGCAAACCTGCTTCCCACCCAGTTCCCTGCTTGTGGCTTGGGAAAGCAGTCGAGGACGGCCTAAAGCTTTGGGACCCTGCACCCATGTGGGAGACCTGGAAGTCTCCTGACTCCTGGCTTCAAACTGGTGCAGCCCAAGTCATTGCGGCCACTTGAGAAATGAATCAGCAAATGGAAGATCTCTCTCTCTCTCTGTTCCATTCTGTATATCTGATTTTCTAATAAAAATAAACCTCAGAAATAGAAAACTAAAAAGTGGAATGAGGGCAAGGAATTCTCTGCTCTAGTCGCACTTAATGATCCCAACAGATTCAAAGTTTTGATTTAGATACATACCTCTATTACTTTGCAATGCACATATATGAAAAAAAAGTGTACCATAACCTAATTAAAAAGGTTCTTTTAGCACTTACATTTTTTAGATATTGCTAAAAACTGGGTATTCCAACTAATCACACCAGTTTTTGGTTCTTTAAACGTCCTATTTGTTCAGACAAAACTATATTTCATTGTTTTGAAATGATAATGAAACATAAAACTTGCAAATAAGCTATAATTATAGACTGTCATAGGTAAAAGAAGTTATGTCAAAAAAGGAAACTCAGTAAGCCTTTGGTCTGTGAATGTTTTTACCATCCAATTCAAAAGGCAGAAATGCATCATTTTGAAAAACTGAATTACAATACAAACCACAGGTATTTCAGGAAAAGTCAAAGTTGTTTAATTTTACAGTTTTAGTATTCCACTTTCTTGGATCTTGGCAATACATGCCTTTTCTAACAGAACCATATCTCTCAAGTTACAAGATAACGTGGTTTTTAAGAACCCCGGCTTCTCTAAATGTAACTACATTGCCAAAACTAAGAAACAAGTCTGTTCTGGGGCTTGGGGGGGAAAGGAAGTAATAAAACAAAAGCTGGGAAACTCCCCCGCACTTGCGATTCATGACAATCCCTTCCCCATGAAAGCCGCTGGATGGTTGATTATCATCTCGTTCCATAAATGAGGAACCAGTGGCGGTCAGGAGTGACAAGTGGCCAGGGTCACGCACCCAGTGACCAGCACAGAAGCAGAAGTCACACCACTCGCTTCCTCAGTGAGGAGAGGATAACTTTACAAACCAAGGCGTGTACGGGGCTCACAGGGTAGCTGCATTAGTGACTTCTCCAAGGTCACTCCACGGAGCCCCTGGAAGAATTCAGAAAACCTAGCGGAGCCCGCAGTTGTCTGTCCCGCTGCCCTTTACCGAGTTGCCACCCAGGGACCCTACTGGGTGCAGCAAGCCCCACACAGCTCACCCCAGCACCCACCCCCCCAAACCTGTGACTAGATGCTAATCGGAAGCTAAGGGCCGGGCACCTCGAAGTCCGCGGAGCTGCAGCGCCGGTGGGTGGCCCAGGACCCCGCTGCCGGTGGCCCGAGGAGCCATCGCGTGACCCGGGACACCTGCAGCCGTCCGCGCCAACAGCCGCGACCCACGACGGTCCACATGCTCCGGGGGCGGAGGCGTCAGGACAGAATCTCTACGCGCGACGGAGCCATGCCCCGCCGGCTTGTGCTTCCCAGAACACCAGTACCAGGCTCACAGCCCAGGGTGGAAAGGACCTTAGGACACAGTACGCTTCCCAAAGCACGCTGTCAAACGCACAACTCGGCACACAGAAGGGACGGGCGCCCCCAGATGACGTCTGTGCGTCTCCGCCCCCACGGGAGGTACAGAGTCGCTCCAGTGACGAAAGCCGTCCGTCGCTTTCCGCTCACGCCTGGTGTGCTGTGCGCAGGCCTTTGGCGTCACTGTTGTTGTTTTTTTTTTTTTTTAACCCCGTGTGGTGGCTGTTTTTTGAGTTGCTTTGTATTGCTGCTCTACACGTGTGCCCTGGTGTGTGTACTGTCAGTTCCCCCAAGCCTCTTCAGGAAATTCAGACGGAGCAACTTACCCGCCCGAGAGCGAACAACGCGGCAGTGAAGGAACGACTGAGGAGGAGCCCAGGTTAAAGCTGTGGGACCTGAACATGCCATTTTTAATACCAGTGCTCAATTCAATACGATGATGACACTTTTAAATCCTGAATGTCGGGTCGGGCTAAAGTTCTCGCTTTGCACGCTCCGGGATCCCGTAGGGCGCCTGTTCTAATTCCGGCTGCTCCACTTCCCATCCAGCTCCCTCCTGTGGCCTGGGAAAGCAGTGGAGGATGGCCCAAAGTCTTGGGACCCTGAACCTGCATAGGAGACCCTGAGGAGGCTCCTGGCTCCTGTCTTCGGATCAACTCAGCTCTGGTTGTTGCAGCCACTTGGGGAGTGAGCCAGGAGACGGAGTATCTTTCTGTCCCTCCTCTCTGTATATCTGACTTTACAATTAATCTTCAAAATGTGTTCCCGCGTTGTCAATAGGCAACACTGATACTGAGGAAATAGGTCATAATGTGGATTGCAATGGTGAATGCAGGGGGGTTTGACAAGAAACTGCATCTTCACTGCCCAAAGCCCCCATCACCTTTAGCTTACGACATTAGCAAATGTTTCCCTTGCAGAGCACAGAACTCTGGTGTTAGGAATCGAGGCGAACCAAGTGAACTTAGCAGCATTCGCTGTCCACCTCCCAATTCTCTTGGGATTTTCTGGAATACCCACTTTGGCACCAAGCAGGAAGCCAACCAGCCATGTTGCTTCCAAAATCTTTCAAAGCTTCTTTACTTCAAAAATGTCTTAGAATAAGTAGTGTTAAAGTCATTTTGTAAGTAAGAATTATGAATGAAAACAGTACAGCACTAAACCTGTCACATTAAAAATGGGATATACTATCTTCAAATGCCATACATACATTAGGTTTTGAAATTAATTATATTGATTTTTAATGATAGTTGATTAGGGTGATAAGGGTCAAGGGCTACAGGAAGACGCTGGGCCCATCCCCATGTCCCTTAACTTCAGTTTCCTTCAGTGTACGTATATCCCCTTGTCTGAAATCCACCCTGCTTATTAAACGGTAGTGAAATTAGATTGAATCCTATTAAAATTTTTAAGATTTGTTTTATTTGAAAGAGTTATAGAGTAAGAGCAACAGAGATCGTCCATCTTCTGGTTCACAATGTAAATGGCAATGACAAGGGCTGGGCCAATCTGAAGCCAGGAGCTTCTTCCAGGTCTCCTACATGGATATGGGTGCCCAAGCACTTGACTCATGCTCTGCTACTTTCTCAGGTACATTAGCAGGGATCTGGATCGAATGTGAAGCAACTAGGACTCAAACCTGTGCATAGAGGGGGTGCTGGCATTGCACTTAACCTGAAATACCACAGTGCCAACCTTGAGAATGGCCACTTTTTAGCATGGTCTCCTGTAGGAGGGTCTTGTTAACTTGTAATATCACCTTCTCAGTTACTGTGGATTAACTGCTAGACATGAAGCATCTTCTCAATAACCTTTTAAAGTGTTTATGTTCAAAATCATGGTAAACCTCAGTAATCTGAATAAATACTTCTGTGCAGATTACTTTTTTAAAAAAAGTGACCACAGACAAATAGCTAGCCCAACATGCTCTCTACAGACCCTAAAAACTGCTTCACTGAATTTCCTTTGTTTTACTATAAGGAATGATAACTGTAACTGTAGCATCTGAAAAAAATACCTACAAATTTAATAGTTCACTGTTAATGTAGAGAAAAATTCTTATCATGACTTATTTGGGTTCTTTGCCTTAGTATTTCACAGACTGAAGTCAATTACCTTGTCAAGCTGGACTTTTTCCTGGAGCTTCCAGGGTAATAGCTGCTTCTAGGTTCTAGGTTCTGTCAAGTTGCTAGCAGAATTCCACCCCATGTGAGACTGACATGCCTATTTCTTGCTCCCATCTCCTAAATGCACACTGGAGCTCCATCTTCAGAGATGCCACAGTAACTCCAATCCCCTCTGTGATTCAGACTTCTGATTTCAGCCAATAGCCAAGGAAGAATTGGCTTTTAAAAGGCTCTTGAGGGCCCACACAATAGCCTACTGGCTAAATCCTCTCCTCGCACATGACAAGGTACCATATGGGCACCAGTTCATGTCCTGGCTGCTCCACTTCCCTTACAGTTCCTGTGGGCTCAGAAAGCAGTTGAGGATGGCTCAACTTGGGACCTGCACCTGTGGGAGACCCAAAAGAAGCTCTGGGTTCCTGGCTTCAGATCAGCTCAGCTCTGGACCTTGCAGTCACCTGGGGAGTGAACCAGCAGAAGGAAGATCTTTATCTCTGTCTCCTTCTCTCTGTAACTCTGGATTTTAAATTTAAAAAAAGCCAAACCAAAAGAAAGCAAAAACATAATGGCCTTTCTGAAAACAAAACAGAACAAAAAAGGCTCTTGCCATTGGACTATGATCAGAGTAAGCCACTCAGGTCATCTCTCTGTAGTACTCAACTAAATTCCCACCAGCTGACGCCATCTACATGGAGGGATCGATTCTTGAGATATTTCCAGTCCTCAGCCTTGACTCTACCACAGATTCCATCAGGCAGTGAGAAGAGCTTCTCCCCATCAGCCTGGCCTAATCTGCAGATTTCTGTGTAAACAGTCTTGTTTAAATTCAGTACATTTTGAGATGGTTTGTTTTATAGCAATGAATGTCCACAAAACCTTAAGTTCAAATATTTATTTTTGTCTGACAGAGTTGCATTCGTTATTAATCAATTCAACAAATATTTGGTGGATATTGACTGTATGTCAAGCAGTGCATTAAGTCAAGAAGATACCAGACTGAAGTAGATATGGTTGTGGTACTGTACGAATTCATAAGTGAGTCAGGAATTGAATTGCATAAAAGCTAATAATTTTACAACGTTATAATTCATATGCAAAAGCATGGATCAGGCATTGTGAGGCATCATTCTAAAAGCTTTATAAATACTTCATGGATTAATCCTCAAAACAAAATTACAATTAGGTGTTTTTGTTCCTATTGAACATATGGGGAAGCAAACCTTGGAAAGGTTAGATAAGTTGCCCAAGTTTTCCTGATAGAATGTAGAAATGAGATAGTCAAACACTGATAGATTTCAGAAATATCCCTTTGTCCACTGTGCCACTTGCATCTGAATGGGTCAGATGAGTCTCCTTTACCCAGCCTGAAATTTGCAAGTGGGGGATGGGCATTCATGCAAGCAGGGCTTAGATTTCACTGTTGCAGTGACTGACTACTACAAGGTTACAAAGATATTAAGCACAGGGGTGCCAGAGGAAGTAAATTTGTGTTTCCTTTAGACATTCTGAAAACAGCTTTGGGGGCAATGGGGTGGGAAAAGGGATAATTCGTTTCATCCTTTGAAGAAAAGCAAATTGTGACCTTCCTGGGACAGTGGAAAGAGGAAAAAAAAAAAAATCTTTCGACCAAAGCATTAATTCAATCAAACTTTGAAAGAATATAGATGTCAAAAAGATATTAATAAAATACAAATCAAACATCATTTAATTTTCCTATTTCACACTTGAAATTGTAAGATTGCCTCTGATTTCTACTCATCACACTTACCAACTAAGAACTGAACCAGCTAAGAGGCAGCATACACCAGATGAAACAGCATTTTGTTTATTTTGCACTGTTGATTTTTGAAGCAGTTTGGTGACGATTAATCATGACTGTCTATCTTCCTGGAATATTATTCTAAAATGAAAAAATTTGCAAAATCAAAATTTGTGTTATTTTTTTCAAAGCTCATTCTTTGTAATTGGAAATAACACCACTTTGGCATGCTTCTTAGGATTCCCAGAAACATGCTTGATGTCCTTCCTCAAAATATTTGACCGGTAGAGATGTTACACATCAAAGTTCATCTCATAGGCTGCTTTCTGCATCAATCGGACAACTTCTGTAAAGCCAATACAGTGCCTCAGGGTATCGGTGCTTTCTCTGGACTATGACACACCCAAAAGTGAGCACCTTCACTAGTAAAATTTTCAAAGATATGAATGTTCAGAAAGTCATATTAGAGACTATTAACTGCAGATGCACCCAGACAAGTTGAGAGACTACAATATAAATATGTATGCTAGAAAAAAAATAAGCCTCAAAATCTTTCATTGAAGGTATGGAATAGTAGTTCTACTGTTTTCTCTATACTCCAAAGGGTCATCTTGCACAGATTTCATATTAGATGTTGAGTGAAAGTAGTGTAATACATGAGAATCTGATTCTCCCAACACATAATCACTGGGCGCCCCTTATCTGAAATCTGCCACCAACAGGGTAGGGGGATCTAGGCTGCCTAGAATCATTACTAGTGTCTTTGTATGTTCCGGCTACTATAACAAAGTGTCAGAGACAGAGACTTTATCAGCATTTATTAACATCACAAATTTAGTTCTCAGTTTTCTGGGCTGGAGGTACAACAGCAGGATGCCATGATAATCTTGTTCTTGGAAGGGCCCTCTTCCAGTTGCACTCTCGGATTTCTCACCACATCCTCCTGTAGAAGAATCATTCACGAGGGTTCCCCCTTATTGCCTAGTAATATCACCATGTCCCCATTCCCTAATAATATCACATTAGAATTTAGCTTCAGGGCCCGGTGTGGTGGCCTAATGGCTAAAGTCCTCATCTTGAATGCATGCAGGTTCTAATCCCGGCAGTCCAGCTTCACATCCAGCTCCCTGCCTGTGGCCTGGGAAAGCAGTCGAGGATGGCCCAAAGCCTTGCACCTGAACCTCTGTATATCTGTCTTTCCAATAAAAATAAATAAATCCTTAAAATAATTCTGCTTTAATGTGTGCATTTGAAGAGTTTACAAAATTAGTAAGAACATCTAAATTACTCTTTTTTCAAGATTTATTTGTTTTTATTGAAAGGCAGATTTTAAACAGGGACAAAGAGACAGAGAAAGATCTTCCATCGACTGGTTTATTCCCAAAATCACTGCAATGGCCAGAGCTGAGTTGATCCAAAACCAGAGCCAGGAGCTGCTTCCAAATTTTCCACATGAGTGCAGGGTCCCAAAGCTTTGGGTCATTCTCTACTGCC